CCAAAGAGACACACTGGAATCCTGGAAGGGGGAGAGGCTAGGCCTTGAGGGAAGGAGGGGCTGAGAGCTAGGGCTTCCTGTCAGCTGGGTAGGAGGGGGGCTCTTTCCCTCCTCCCTTCCAGGCAGTCTCTGGGGATCCCTCCTCTGGTCCCAGCTCCAGGCACAAGGGATTGTGCAGGCAGTTCCTGTCAGCTCCATGGGGTCATTTCTATCTTCTATCTACCCACAAAGACATGGAGTGAGGGGATCACATCACTGTCTCCCCAGAAACAGCAGAGGCTGTTTCTGGCCATGTGCAGACCCAAGCCCACTCTAGGCACTGGTCATTCTGATAGGCATGAAGCAACCTGCCCACCCACTGCCAGCATCTACCCCCTCACACAAACATACACAGAAAATCTTAGTGCCACTGCCCACTCACCAGTCCCCACTGCAGTGACATGAACCCAGAGACCTGCTGCCTACCTGGCACTAGCAGCAGGCCCCAACAGTGCCCCAGCACCCAGCCATCAACTTGAGACTGCGCCTCCCAACATTCTTCCAGGCTGCTCTGATCCCTCCACTCCCCCTCCAATAGCTCACAGCTCAAGTCCCACAATGGATGAGGAAATGAAGCCCAAGAACAAGGGATAGGAGGATACAATCATCCTTCTGAGACCCTAGGGTGGGATCAGCAAAGAGACTTACAAGAAGGAGATTCAGCAGGAGCAGAAGCCGGCTCTTTCTTGACCCACCTCAGGCTAAGTCCATATTGGCTGCACCCTCCAGTGCCGCTGGGCTGGGGCCAGGGGCTGGCTGCTTCCCTCCCCAGCTCTCCTTGCCCCTGGCTGGGCCCTCTCCCTCTCCAGCTTCGGAGCAGCCCTCCCTGCCCTCTCCCTCCAAGCTCTGGCTCTCACATCCTTAGCTCTTGGAAGCCTGACTCACTGTTTCCCCTCCCTCCCTCTCACTCCTGGCAGCAGTGCCTCCCCCTCCCCTGAGGGGGCTTTGGACACAAGGGTGCCTGCCTGCTTCTCTCCCCAGACTCTGAGTCCCCAATGCATCCAGGAGGACCCCTGCAGGGTTCCAATTCTCTAGCTATAGTAAAGTGGAGTGCAAGAGCCTGGGTTCCAGGTTGGCCTTGCCAGAGTTATCTGTGACCCTGGGCAAGTGGCTTCTCTCTCTATTTGGATTCCTTCTGTCAAGCTGGGGTGTATGTGGGGGGGGGTCCCCAGTGGATGATGCACAAGCACCTCTGAGGTGCTGAAGCTCCCCACTTTTATAACATGGGTGTCTCCTGGCACAGGGCACCTGCCAACCTGTGGAGTGCTCCGCCCTAGCCCAGGCCCCGCCCCCAGGTCCCAAGAAGAACTCAGTTCTCAAACAGTTGGAGAGGGGAAAAGTTGCTTTAGGGCTGGGAACATTAGTCAAGACACTTGGAATCCCCTTTTCTCCTTCATCCTGTGGGATTCTTCATGTTTCTCTCTCCCACCTGTCCTCCCCACTTTCTAGAAAAACAACCCCGGCAGCACTCAATCAAGGGGGAGAGGCCCTCAGTGCCTCCTTGTATCTGGCTACATGGTAGGCAGTGGGGTATGCCTAGGCCCTCTGAGGTCCCTGGGTCCCAGCCCTGAGATGCAGACTCTTGTCTGTTTTCTCTCCCTCTCTTCAATAGCTTTGGTCTCTATCTTTGTGGCTCTCCAACAGCATGTGGTTGTCTGGGTCTCCTCCCCTTACCCCATCTCTCTCCCTGGGGGGCCCATCTGCTGGCATTAGGAACAATGTTACCCTTGCTCCTTCCTGCAGTCCCTAGCTCTAACTATACCTTGGAGTTAGTTGTACCTTCCCTCTAGGTCCCACGAGATCTCAGGGCCCCAGAGACAGAGCCTGGCTCCATCCCATAATAGTGAGTCTGTTTGACTTCATCCAGCCGACCAGAAGGGCCAGGGCATCTGGTACACAGGCATGGCACCCCCTAGTCTTGGGTGGCTGGCAGGAGACACAGAGCTCTATATTTCATAACACCCCCCCCAAAAAAGAAAAAAAAGTTGAACTGGGGGTGGGACAAAGGAAGGAGGTGAAATGGAAAATGAAGGAGATTCAGGTTTGCTTGAAGGAAACCTGTCCAATGGGGGACATGACAAGGAGTGGCTCCAAGACAGTGCTTCGGGCTGATGTCCCTGTGGCACTCTACCAGTTCCCCCCAACTGTCTTCTGCCAGGGACAGTCAGCGCCAAAGGCACAATCAAATGGAACCCCCTTAATCTTTAGAATCCAAGTCCAACCACTCTACTCTATACCTCTACTTATCTGGCAAGCAGGGGGCTTCCCCTGCCAAAATCTTAAGTACACGGAGTGGGGGGGCAGAGTCCCCCACCTCCCCAGCCCCATTCCCTAATTCCGATCAGTTGGTCTGGGAAGCAATATAAAATAATCCTGGAACCATCACACACTAAAACTGAGAAACTAAGCTGTTCATCCATGGCACCTGGGGGTGTGGGGGGCTCTGTGCCCCCACGACCTTGTTCCAGACACCCCCAGTCCAGCAACCGTCATAAACAGCAAACTCTTTTTCTTTATGACACCAAATTTCTCCAAGCCCAACAGTTCTTTCCATCACTCCCTCAGCTATAGATCACATTAAAAACTCACAGAGGGCAACTTAAACACATCACATTTGTTTCTCTCTATATTATTTCAAAAGTAACGGCATTAAAAATGGATTTTACTACAGAAAATAAATATTAGCACGTGGGCTGGGAGCCCAGGCGGGGGAGAGAGCCCACCAGGGGAATGTCCCTGAGGGCTTGGGCACAACTTAGGCATTGACCAGGGAGGTGGCTCAGTGGTCAAACTGTACCCTGGGGATGCCTGGAGAGGGGGAGGGGGCAATGTCTGCCCACCTGGGCCCCTGCTCAAATGCCAGATCAAGAGGGAGATGACATACTGATTTTGGGCTGATGCCCACTGATCCCCCAAAGCTCATGCCCTCAATAGTTACTGCAACCTCTCTCTGAAGGGTGGGAGCTTTGGGGCCAGAAGTTCACTAGTCTCTGGGGGGTTACTCCAACTATTGACACAGGAGAAAAAAAATGAATTCAACTTACTATCCACTTTGATTTTCCATTACTATAAAAATAAATATACATCTGCTCAAAAGAAGGAGATGGCAAGAGGCATGCAAGTGCCACCTGGAGGGTCCCTCCAGACCTCACCACCACAGCCCAGCCTGGGAGGGGTGAACAGCCTGGTAATCTTTCACTTACAGCCCCAGCTCACACAGCCACACACACCGTGCTACACCGAACAGGAACAAGCCAACAATAGAAACACCCCAAATGCCCCTGGCAGGACTCTGCCCAGGCCTGGGCACATGCCCCCGCCCTGCCAGAGGCAACAGCAGCAGCGGACAGAATGTGGCCACCCTGACCCGGAGGCAAAGCTTGTCCTCACACCCTGAGCTCAGCCCAGGGAGCTGGGGCCAAGTCCCGCCTGACACCAACTGGTCCAGCGGGAAACGCCTGCCCAGCCAGACAGGCACAGGCCCCCCAAGGGTCCCTCCTTGTGCTCAGGGACAAGGCTGGTGCAGCTCAGCCCTGCCTCCCAGGGTGACGCTTGGGCCCAAATTCAGCTGGCCCTGCCAGTCAGGCACTGGTGCAGAACCGAGGGCACCAGGCTCAGCCCCTCCCAGCCCAGCCCCAGGGCCCCCAAGCTAAGAGGGAGGGGAGACTCCCCACCCCTCCACATCTGGCCCTGGCCCCCAGGGTCTGCGGTAGAGAATTCCCGCCCCCGCTTCTCTCCCTCCTCCTGCTCTGTGCGATCTGTGCCCGCTGCCCGCCTCAGGGACAGCCCCAGCTCCCGCCTCCGGCCAGCAAGGCCCACATCCTTCCTCCCTCAGCTGGCCCCTTTGCCTGGCAGAAGGCTGGGGGGTCAGGCTGCTGGGGAACCCTCCCCCCCAGCTCCCATCAGTCCTCATCCCCAGCCCCCAAACTCTGGGTTGCTGTCCCTTTTCCTGTGGAACAGGAAACAAGGTTATTTCCTAGTCTCAGAGCCAGCCCCCTGCCCCTCTGGCTCTGCCCGGGGACCCAGACCCAGCAGGGGAAGGCGCCCTTAGCCAGAAAGCGGAGATTCAGCAGCTCACCTCCAGCTCCCGACCTAGGGGGCTGACAGCTGTCACTCAGCACCCCACCCCCTGGGGAAGAGGGGGCCCCGATTCAATCAGAGCCCTAGAGGAAACGTATTGATAGGCGATTATTTATTTATTTATGCAAAAGTGAGCCGACTTTGTTCGCCAGGTAACCGGGCACGCGGCCCAACCCCTCTGGCCTGGCCACCCCCAAATCCCTCCTCCGCCCCACAACCCCCGCGGGTCATTAGGTCCCCGCCCCTCAACTCCCGGAGCGCCAGCGGAACCTTGGGATTTGGGGGTTGGAGGGGAGGGGCTCCTCCCTCAGCAGTCTCCCCTTTTCCCAGTGCCTATCCTAAAATCCAGCCTTGTTCTCCGCTCCCACGGTCCCCCCTTCATCCCACCCCCCCACATTCTCAGCAAGCAGGAGAGCAAATTGCAGTTTTAAATCCAAAGGCGGAGGGAGGGGGAAGGAGGAGGGGGTGCGCAGCAGCGCTGGGCGCGCACCTCGCCCCCGAGCCGGGGGAGCCGCGGGGCGGC